CATTACCCTCGCGAAATAGACACGGACGAGGATGTTGAACTCGACGATGAGTACGGCGACAACCCGGACGACGAGTATGACTACCGTCTAGACATGTTCCGCACCGAGCCCTGCAGGGAGCGGCTGGAGCCCCTGCTTGCGGCGTTTGCCAAGTCTCTGACTACCCCTAACATGCCGCGCCTCGAGGACGCCGAGATGTTCACATACCTGTGGTGGGACCCTTCGAACAACAGAGACATTGAGAAATACGGCTTGCCGATGAAAAAGGGTCACAGATGGGGCGTAAAGTTCATTGCCGGCCGCGGCGATGAGAAGGACAAGAAGGACAACGATGCCGCTGCAGCAGCCCCAACACCACCGGTGGTGCAGTGGCAGGTTGGCGACTGGAGGCCCAGCGACGAGGTCATGAGTCTGTTCGAAAGCCTGGGACGGCAGGAGTGGCTCAATCTCGAATGGGACAAGTATCGATCTACGGCAGGGCGCGATTTGCTGGGAAATAGCACGTCGAACCCAATTTAGTCCGGCGGCGACAACCGGAATTCTCCACTCGGTATTCCAAACAAGAAGTCTGACGTCTTCTACAAAATTGCAACATCAAGTTCCCGTACAACAGGAGCTGGTGAGTCAGTTCGAGCAGAGTCGGCAGATAACGCAACAACACAGGCACACACAGCCGACGCGGCCGAAACGTATCCTTTATCGTTCCATCCCCGGTGGGGATGTCTTTGCACAACCGCGACAGCGGCCTCCCAGGTGTACACCGGGCACTTTGAGACAGGACCTTTCATGTACCATCAAAATGAATGAGAGACACCACCATCTGCGAAACAAGTTACAAGATCATCTACTGTACACTACTCTCTCCTCTCTGCTCCCGAGCCATGGGTTTCCCACCTCCGCAGAGTCAAGCCATTTCACAGATTCTCACGGTGGCTTCTAGCTGGAAACCCCAACACAATACGCCTGGCCAAGCCAAAAGTTTGTCACGCAATCCCTTGAAACGGCAGGGTTCCAGGCATAAAACTGATCCAGTGTGATACCATTATCGCTGGCCATCGAAGCGCAGCCGTCGCCGTCTACCACGACGTCCCACTTGTTACAATTAGCAGGCTGGCCGGTATGTGTCGGTGCAGGTGGTGTCGGCTTCGCTGTGGTTGATGCTGGTGGCGTCGTGGTTGGGCTACCCCCGACACTAGATCGGCCGACGCAGTATGCCTGCCCCAACCAAAAGTTTGTCACACAGTCCTTGGATACCGCCGGGTTCCAAGCATAGAACTGGTCGACCGTGATACCGTTGTCCGCGGCCATTGACCCGCAGCTGTCGCCGTCTACCACGACGTCCCACTTGTTGCAATCCGACGGCTGGCCTGTGTGGGTTGGTGCGGGAGGGGTCGGGGCTGCCGTTGTGGAAGGCTTGGTTGACGATGGGGTTGTTGTGGCGCCGGAACCAGCCCCAGAAACGCCGACACAGTATGCCTGCCCCAGCCAGAAGTTGGTGATACAGTCCTTAGAGACAGCAGGGTTCCAGGTAAAGAACTGCTCAACTGATATGCCGTTATCACTGGCCAGAGAACCACAGCTATCGCCTTCCGTCACTACGTCCCATTTGTTGCAGTCTGCGGGTTGGCCGGTATGCGTGGGGGCCGGAGCGGTGGGCTTCGTCGTCGTCGGCGCCGTGGTTGAAGCAGACTGCGAGGCCGTGGTGCTGATACCCTGGCCCTCCCTATGCGTGCAGTAGGCCTGTCCGAGCCAGAAATTCTCGGTACAGTCTGCGCTGACAGCCGGGTTCCATTCGAAGAAAGTGGCGAGAGAGATCCCGGCGTTATCAGCGACGGACTGGCACGAGTCACTGCTGACCACGACGTGCCAGCCGTCACAGTCTTCCGGCTGGCCTTCGTGCGTCGGCGCCGGCGGCTGGGGTCCGGTCTCGGTGGGCTCAGGCTCTTCGGTAGTGGTGGTTTGCGTGGGCGGCAGACCCCAGGAGCCGCAATACCGCAGGCCGACCTGGAACACGCACGCCGGGTCAGTGACGTTTATCGTGAGCGAGTTCCAGGCGACGAAGCTGTCAAAGTCGACGTTGTAGTTGGACGCTGCAATCTCGCAGTTGCTGTTCCAATAGCCGAACACGTCAGACTTGTACTGATAATCATCGCCCTTGAAGTAAAACACACAATCGTCGCGGACGCCGGTAGCCAACGGGAGCTGGGTCGGTCTTGGATCCAAGGTCATGGTGGCGTTGGGCAACATGGTGAAGGGTACCCCGGTGAAGGACTCGTTGGGGTCAATGGTGACGGAGGCATATCCGGGTCGGCCGGGATAGTTGTTGATGTCTCCGACCGCCTGGACGCAGTAGCTCTCCTGTGCAAAGAGGTTGGTGCAGTTGGCGTTGATGCCTGTATTGAGGAACATGAAATCATCAAGAGATATAGCAAACTTGAGAGTCACCAGGTTGCAGTAGTCGCCAGCCTCGACCTCGTACCAGCGGCCGCAGGGCTTGTCAGATCCGATGGCCGTGTTGGAGGGGATCGGGGCAGCACTGGTGGGCGTCACCGGAGGAACATTCGTCGTCTGGGCGGGTGGAAGCTTGGGTCCGGGTGGTTCGATGCAAAGCGTGGTGCCGTTCATCATGTCGAGGTTGGAGCAGACCGGATTGATGACGGGGTTCCAAGCCATCAGCTGTGGCTCTGTGATGTTCGCAGCTGCAGCGATGGCTGAGCAGGTCGTGTTGACTGCCACCGTGACAGTCTTACACGTGTTGGTGATGCAGAGACTACCCGAAGTCGGGAACTCAAAACAATAAGCACCGAGGTGGTTGTCAGACAGCATCCACGCCGTACCGACACTCTGGGCCTTGGAAATGCTGTAGCAATCGTCACCGCCCTGGATCTGGTACGTGGTGCCGTCGCAGACTGACTCGGTGGGCTGCGGCTCGCTTGTGAAGTAGTCAATGGTGGATGTGGTGGCAGGCTTGCCCGTGATGCCACAGCTGGACGTCAGGGTTTGGTAGATGGACTCGCTAGCCACGACGGGGCCGTCAAAGTAGGGCGACCCAGATCGCAGGCGCAGTCTGGCTGCGAGACACGGGTCACAATCCGCAGGCTTGACAGCGCCCTCGGGAAGTACGTTGATGTAGTTAAAGGCGGAAACTGACAAGATGTTAGTGAGATGCGCTGGCAAGCCCAGAATTGCGCAACATATCATGTCCGCGGGAGACTCACCTCCAGGATTGGTGAAGAAAGCTGCTAATGCGGCTACGGGGCCGCAGAAGGCATCGTTCTCTTTGAGACACGTGAAGCCATAGGTGTACCGGCGGCTGGCAGGGATCACAATGGGTGATGCGTCAAGGTCATCCTCGGCAGGAATGACAATGTCGTTGCCGCAAGCAGACCGGACCGAGCTCTCCCAAGACTGCAGCGCAGAAGCACAGCCATCAGTGCACATACGGGTCAGGGTGGCAGGCGGGTAGTAAAAGTCATGACGGATGGCCGGCACGAGCGGATCACAAGCGACATCAGCCATGAGGGCTGCAGAACATGCCGCATCCAGATCTTCAGGAAGACTGTCGTCGTAGAGCATCTTGACGGCGGAGACTGGGCTGGGGCTCAGGCTCAGAAGAACACCGAGTCCAAGGACACAACGCCTAAAGGTAGCCATGAGTCTTGATGGATCGTGTCTTCCTCTCTCTCTCTCACCAGGAGTTGAAAGAGTGAATCGTGAGTTGATGATACTAATACGTCCAAACAAGGGAGGAAGGCAGAGTTGGGTCTACCTAGACACGGATAAGGGGCGATGAGCGACAGCGAGAGTGATAAGTATGTCGGAAAGTGTCAATGAATCCAGAGAAAGCAACGTAGGTGTACAACAGTTGCCCACGTCCGATGGGGAATTTGGATCAAGGGAGTGCAGGCGATCCAACTTGCCGTCGTCCTGTTCGAGACAAAACGAGATACAACCGCCCTATGCAATAGAAAGGGTCACAAGAATCAAGGATTATCAGTCCAGACTTGACCCGAGTGCATCCTTGGATATTCTAGGCAGCAGAAGTATTTAGATACTACAGGTACGGAACTCACCACCACCTGCCTTAAACGGAAATGATGCTGGTGATTAGGTGAGATTTTGATGCGATGTCACGTCTTGGCGTACAGAAGCTTGTTCACATTGTAGAACCAACAATCAAAGGAGATGAACAGATGCGAACCCGATGACCTTCTGGCCGAGACATGGGCCCAATATTGCTTACACGCATGGTTCCTGCAGGGGGCTGATGGAGCGGCCCGCCCGCTTTTTAGTACACCGAACCTTCAGCAGTATGCACGAAATCACGATATCACACTTAAAATCCCACGCTGACCGGACCCGCTCTTCATAAGAGGCAAAGATGGGAGAGTGTTTCCGAGCGGCTGACCGGAAAAACAGGACGATGGTATTCTGACATCGACATCCATGAGACCCCTATTTGCCCTGCCAAGACCCTGCATGCCAAATTAAGTACGGAGCAGGTTACCCTTGTGAGCCACCAAGATAGTCGAGAACTCGCTGCCTGGGCTTGGTTTGACTTTCAGTGTACATGCAGGGCACGTGGATTTAGGATTCGCGTGGAGATTGTGACTGGAACTGGAGCAGTGTGTGTTGCTCTAGAACACCGTTCGAGCTGTTTTGTCAGACGAGACACTCTGCGCGAATTACTCGGCGTGTCTTCCCAGTCTGTTTTCCTTTAAAGATGTTTCGGCTAGCTGACTTTGTTCGTCATCTTTGCGAATGGATATCCTTTTGTTTCGTTCTTTATCAAGTCTTTGATCACTCCTCCCTCTCTCATCGGGGACCACATTCCTTCGAGTAACGTTCTTTGTTGCTGGGTAGAGCTCCCAAAGGCTCAGCTCTAAGCGCGACCATGCGACAATGGTCCCCGCTCTCGTGGAGCTGTCTGCTCCTATCTGCTTTCATTAACCCTTCTCTTGGAGCAGTCATCACAGCAAGATCTGGCAGTGCCAGCGTGGATGCAGTTCCGGACCTACCCGACTCGTGCCGCGCTGTTGTCTCGTAAGTAAACCCCCCTTATTCTATGTTCAATGACCTGGACTATTATTAGAGCATCATTTCCTGACTCGCTATGAACGACATCACAGACCCTTTGATTACTCGGCCAAGAACCGACGTGACCATGTGTTGCCAGTCTGCAGTGCTGACAGCCCTAATCCAGTCGCTCCTCGCGACAATAGCCATGTCATCGACGCTGACGGAAGTGAAATCGTTCCTCTTGCGTTACTCGAGACTGGCGTGTCTTCGCTAGTAGGACGCACCGAGCTGTCCTCCCTGTTTGGGAGACAGGTAGTCGGCGGAGATGACTATACCTGCGGCCCCGACCGCCCTTGCAAGAACAAAGCTTGCTGTCCAAAGAAGACTGGCCAGTGCAACTATGGCGAGGAGTAGGTACCCTCATCCCCATATGCTCTTGAATAGAGGCTAATAATTTCTTCTCTTCACGCAACAGAGCCTGCGGCACATCTGGCATCTCTCCTAATGAGGTGTGCTGGTCCAACTGCGATGCCAAGGCAGAATGCGGCAAGAATGCCGCCGTCCCTGGCCAGAAGTGTCCCCTGAACGTCTGCTGTGGCAAGTGGGGTTTCTGCGGAATGACAAAGTATGTACAGATTCAGCGTGGTGAAGATGCCTACAGAGAAGAGCAGTGTTGACGATTGTGAAATAAAGGGATTTCTGCGACAAGGAAGACCATGGAGCGACTGGCGGTTGCCAGTCTAATTGTGACCAGCCAGGTCCCAAGGACAAGGCGTCGGACCAGCTCAACCGTGTCGTTGGATACTACGAGGCATGGAGACACGACTCCAAGTGTCAGGATATGGTAAGCTTACTTGATCACTCCTTCGCAACGTACCTGTTTTACTGAGCGTGACATACAGGGCCTGAAAGACATCCCTGTCAACTCCCTGACCCATCTCTATTTCTCTTTTGCCTTCATCATGCCGGACTTACAGATCGTCGGGATGGATAACCTGCCGGATAAGCTGTTTACAGACTTCACCGACCTCAAGAAGAAGAACCCAGCCCTCAAGATGATTATCGCAATTGGTGGGTGGACACACAACGATCCGGGCCCTTTACAAAAGGTGTTTAGCAACATGGTCAGTACCAAAGCGAACCGGTCCAAGTTCATTGGCAACCTTATGTCCTTCCTTCGCATGTACGCCTTTGACGGTGTCGACTTTGACTGGGAATATCCTGGCGCGGATGATCGCGGTGGTGTCCCCGAAGACGGCGAGAACTTTACTCAGTTCCTCAAGGAGCTCCAGGAGGATATCAAGAAGCAGCCCGTCAAGTACATTGTGTCCTACACGGCGCCGACGAGTTTCTGGTACTTGCGCCACTTTGACCTAAAGTCAGTTGACTATACTGATTTTGTCAACGTCATGTCATATGAGTAAGTCTGACAACGGACTTTGTTCTCGGACCTCAACTAACCACATGTCTGTAGTCTTCACGGAGTCTGGGATCGTGATAACCCGATCGGGTCTCACATCTACGGCCACACCAACCTGACCGAGATGAGCCTGGCGTTTGACCTTTTCTGGAGGAACAACGTCCCGGCCAAGAAGCTGAACATGGGACTCGGCTTCTACGGTCGCGCGTTCCAGCTGGCTGATCCGTCTTGCAACAAGCCCGGGTGTCTCTTCAAGGGAGGCGCCACAAAAGGAGCGTGCAGTGGCGAGTCTGGAATCCTCAGCTACCGCGAGATCCAGGAGGTCATCAAAGTTAACAAGATTAAGCCTGTCCACGACAAGGAAGCCGGTGTCAAGTACATCACCTGGAACACCGACCAGTGGGTGTCGTTTGACGACAAGGAGACGTTAAAACAGAAAAAGGACCTCGCGGCCAAGCTCGGTCTCGGCGGCTATCTCATCTGGGCCATCGACCAAGACGACGCCGAGATGTCTGCGTTGGCTGCCGTCCTGGACCCCAAGCCCCTGGGCGACTTCAAGTCGATCGATAAGGGCGATGAGAACTGGACGGGCACCAACGAAATGTGCTACGTTTCCAGCTGCGGCGTTGAAGACTGCAAGGCGGGCGAGATCAAAATCACCGACCAGAAATGCGGCAATGACAAGAAGAGCACCCTCTGCTGCCCCTTGTCGGGCGCCCCTGACCCTAAGTCGTGCACCTGGCGCGGCGGTGAGACAAAATGGTGCAACGGCTACTGCAAAGACGACGAGGTCATGACGCACATGAGCAAGTACGGCGGCGGCCACGACTGCTGGGACGGCCAGATGGCGCACTGCTGCGAGAGCTCCCTCGGCGAGAAGAACATCTGCAAGTGGCGCGGCGTCGGCGAGCAGTGCCACAGCGGCGAGCTGCCTCTGACCTTCTCCGGGACCGTCCTCGACATCCTCGACGACGTCGCCAAGATCATCCTGCGGGTGGTCGGCCGCGCGTACCCGCTCGCTGCCCTCACTGGTCTGGTCCTGCTCGAGGTTCTCGACGAGCTGGACCTCGACACGCGGAAGCTGTACTGCTGCCCCGAGAAGGAGGTTGAGAAGTGGAAGAACTGCGCCTGGTACGGCAAGCCGGGCAACTGCTTCGACGGTCACTGTCCGGATATGAAGACGGTGCAGATCACCGACTCTTACTTTGGCGGCAGCGACAACTGCGGCATCCACACGACGCGCGTCCGCACGTTCTGCTGCGAGTCGGACGGCGAGCCCCTTTTCCTGCCCGTGGACCTCAAAAACCTGTTTGAGCACCCGCCCGAAGGCGGTTCCGATACGGATTTTACGCTTGAGACGGACAAGACGTCGGCCGACGGCGACGACGACCCGAACGAGGCCGCGTTCCAATTCGTCGTGCTCGTCTCGCCCGAGGCGCTCCAGATCTCGCTTGACAAGCGCGACGGATCCCACTGGGACGTCTTTAACTGCCACGACTCCATCTCCGAGGGCGAGCACACCGTTCGCATGGTCTGTAACGACCACACCCCGGAGAGCAACTGTCACAAGATCGGCCTTGGCCACGGCGTCCCGGGAACCATCCTCCAGATGCCCAGGGGCTGCGGCCCGGGCAAGTATGCCGTCGCCAAGAGTATGGCGCCGGCACCTGGCAGAAACCACGCCAAGCTGCTGCCCCGTCACCTGTCCCATCTCGCCGGCCTCGAGCCTGTCGTCTACGACTTGACGTTCGACTACGACTTCAGCCGCGTGCCGCGCGACCTCGGCAACACCCAGATGCGCATCGACTACAGTAATCAGGACGACTACTGGGACAACATTGTCGCCGGGTCCGTCAGCCGAAAGCGAGACGTACACGGGAACGAGAGGCTCGCCAGGCGGACGCTTCAAGATGTCGGCGGGAACCCGGTGCGCTGGCTCGAGGAAGAGTTCCGCGACGACTTCCACCTTGACAAGATTGCCTCGCGGGACCTGCACGAGCGGTGGTTCGGCAAGAGCATCCTCGAGTGGCTGGCGGCCCTCGTCAAGCCTGAGATCAAGCGCGAGTTCACGCACAAGTACGACGACAGCGTAACTGCAAAGTTGTTTGACGAGTCGTGGAACTGCCCTGGCTCGGTGGAGGGCGTCAACTACGACGGCCACCTGCTCGGCCAGGCCGTCCTCGACATCGAGGTCGAGTCCAGCTTCGGCTTCACCCTCATCGTCGAGAGCCTCACCCTGCCCCTCAACCTCGAGAACAGCTACCTTACCTTTTACAACAAGGGCAAGGTTACTGGCGTGGTCACCCTTGAGGCCCTCGCCCGCGTGACATACGAGAAGAAGAAGGTCATTCTCAACTTACCATTCCCCGGTGCCTCGTTCAAGATCCCCGGAATCGCCACCATCGGCCCCCAGCTCACCGTTGAGGGTAGCATCGACGCCTCCCTCGGAATGGCTGGCTTGATCGAGACCAAGCTCGAGATTGCTAAGTGGGAAGTTCGCCAAGTCCTGCCCGACGCCAGCGCCTACAAACCCGATCTCATCGACAACAGCAAGCCAAGCCTCGATCGGACAGGCGACTTCTCGGGGATCCAAAAGCCCGAGTTCTACGCAGGTGTTACAGCCTCTGGAGATGTCACCTTCAAGCTGTCAGCCGCTGCGGAGTTTGGTGTTCGCTTCGTCGAAAGGTGGGACGTTCCTCCAGCAGCAGCCGCAGTCGTGGGCGAGGTCAGCCTGACGACCAAGTTCGCAGCGGGCATCTCGACCTCGGGAACGTGCCCCTTTACGTACGGTCTTGATGTCGGCGCTCGCTTGTTCGCGAGAGCAACCGCGCCCGACCCGTTCGGTACCGGCTGGTCTGGTGGTGAAGTCGACCTCACGGACAAGTGGGAGAGGACCATCATCAAGGGCGGCACTTGTCCCGATCTGGGCCCGATACCTTCCAAGAGAAGTCTCCGACGTCGAGACCCGCTCTTCATTGAGGGCCGCGCCGAAGAAGAGGACATGACCAGGAACGTATCTAGGTCGAGAGCTCCCGAGGCCGGTGCCTACGAAGCCCTCGATGCGGACTTAGTATCCAGCCTCGACGTCGACCTGCGCACGAGAGACATCTCCGCCGGACACATGTCGTCTCTGGTCAAGAGAGGTGGTGTATACGGTCCGGCGTTCAGCCTCCCGGTCGGCGAGTTCTTCTGCCCTTCTGAAGACAGCGAAGAGGGCATCACGTGCAAGGAAGCATACGACTCCCTACAAGAGGGCAACGAAGGAGGCGTCTGGCAAGACGCGAAGAAGCGCAAGAGGGAGGAGAAGCTGACTCCAACTTCCACCATTGATGAAAACGCTGCCGCCGCCGAGTACCATGCTCATCAGCTCAATCAAAGCCATCGGGCATGGGATGAGGAGTTACTGCACATACTAGACAAGAGAGCCGATGAAAAGAATGTCAAGGCTTGTGCAATGAAGTACGATATAACTAACACCTTTCCCCGCGGCGGCGAACTTGCAGGAAAAGGAAAAGATTGGGGCTGGGAAGACCCCGCGGACTGTGGCAACTTCAACTTTGGCGACCCCCTGACGGCACGCGCCGCCAACGTCCAGTATCACACCGAGCACGTCCTCGAGGCACAGATGATTGACCAGTTCTTCCAGTGGCTTGACAAGAAGAAGTCCAACTTGCCCGACCCGACGCCAGGTGCGGGCCAGGGGTCTACCGTCTCTTTCTGTCAATATGTCAACGAGCTATGGGATGTTCCCGCTTTCGCGTGGCCCAACGAACCCACGACCGGCGGCGTCGGCAAGCTCTGGACCCCCATCCAGCATATTGCGGCGCAGTTCCCGACAAGAACGTTCAAATCAGACGACTTTGTCGCCCTGGAGTCTGCCATCAACACGCCTAGCAAGACGAGCGCCTGGCGAGCGAATAACCCTTGGAAGACGACGTCCTGGACCAAGAAGATTGGGAAATATGCAGACGCCAAGAAGATTTTCTCCAGGCTCCGCAGCACGATGGGCTCGCGCTTGTACCAGGACCACTCGACCATTAGGACAACCATGAAGGAACAGACGGACCGGATAGGCAAGATACTCGACGCCCTCGACTCGACCCTGCTGCAAGCAAACCAGCGCACTGGATACCTGAAATGGTCGAAACAGAACCTCAAGTCCGAGTGGGAGACTTATATGAAAGGCCAGTACACTACAATGGTATCCAAGACCGAGGGCCTCGTCAACGATTTCCTTCCCAAGATGAAAAAATTGTGGGCGTCGCAGGCAGAGAAGGACAAGTGGAAGGACGACCCCAAGGATACAGCGGCGGTGACAGCCACGAAAAAGGAACACCAGAACTTCATAAAGGCCATTGAAGACTTTGACACGAAATGGAATGCGCTGCCCAAGTGGACGAACCCTCTCTGATGACGAAACAATCGCAGAAACAGCATGATCATTGTCATCATCGTTAATTCAAGATGTAATTAAGCTATGACCTGTCTTTCATTTTGGTTTGCTTTCTTTCAAGACGCTTCAATTCACAGTTCATGTATTCATGGATGCCCGAGAGAGTGAAAGGCACTGAGCGTAATTTCTATGTACATGAATAACCTGCAATCCTTTTAGTATGTCGGCTCGTATCGGACGTGTTTTGCTAGCTGATGCGGGGAGCCTTAGCTTTCGTGCCTTTAATAAGCGTCGAATTATCACCACTACAGCTTATACTAGGCTCATCAGTGATTCTGAAAGATGGATAACGACGAGCGTATAGCTGAGGGTAGCACTAGCTAAGGGGGCAGTTGAAGAAGGGCTTCACTTGCACTTACTAATGGTGTAATTCAACCTGCTTTTGTGCTACTTGAGGAGGTCCCCGCTTTAAATTTTAACAAATCCTTGAAATAAGTGTTAAATGCAAATTTAAAAAGATTCTCAATCTCCTCACGAAGCTAGCATCTGCAGCTAAATCTGTTGGTCAGTCTATCGAGTGATCTATAATCACATTTCCTTCAAATATGATTTTATGAAAGGCGGTACGTAGACTTGTAGTTCTAATAGTAAAACTAAAAATACTTTCTAGTTGATTGTTTAGCCTGATGAATTGTCCGCACATGAAAATACACCGCCAATAGAACCATTATCATAACCCTCCTTAATCGTTAGAACAGTCGCATACGTGCCGCCCACAGTGATAAAGACACCAATGATAATCATGCTCCATGAACCAACAACTAAAACCATGTCCTTCTTGCTGCTCTTGGCCGCATCATTAGCCTCAAGAAGCCAATGCTTCTCCGGGGAAGATTGGTGCTCGTGTGCGTGCGTTCCATCCAAGCCAACCATAGGAGGCTTCTTTGCTACGTAGAACAAGACCATGAAGCCGGGAATGATGTGTGTGAAAACGGGGTTGACGAGGGAGCCAACAAGACTGAGGAAGTCGCTGAAGAAGGGAACAACTCCCACGATAATGAAGCCGAAGACGACAGTGACCAACATTGAGCCTCCCCACACAAGCCAGTGCTTGGCGGTACTGGTTTGGAGATGGCGTGTACCGCGGAGGATTCTGACGAACCAGTACTTGCCAGCAGTGTGGCTGTAGAGGATAGCTGTTACAAGGAGACCAGGCAGTCCAATACCATAGGCAACCTTCTTGATCAATGGACCGGCAGAACCGAGGGCAGGGCTGGCAAGGTACTGGCCGACCTGCGAATAAACGATGGAGGCGATGGCGATGCAAGTCGCAATAACGATTCCCTGACCCCATAGCAGCGCGCGGCCAAAGTGTTTGGGTTCCTTCATCTCAGCAGCGATAGAGAAGCAGACCCCAGAAGCACCAACGGCGAACAGCTGGTTTGAGATGGCCGACATTGCATGCGAGAAAGTGGTGTCCGGGAAAATACGGATATCGAGGTCAATGGTGCCCGTCTGGGGGGCTGCGGCGGGCCTGTTCTGCACGAGACAGGCGATAGCCGTCGTCCAGATAGCGACGAAGATACAGCCGAAACCGGCCCAGCTGACCCAGGCGATCTTGTCCAAACTTCTGAAACCGCCGCCGACGAGAAAAGCAACTGCAGCGGCTACGGCCACGAATACCATAGTGCAGGCGCCGTGGCCTGAGAGCGCGTTAAGGGCGACGGAGGAGGCGAGCATGCCAGCGCCTGCTGTTAAGGCGAGATAGAGGTAGAAGAGGAAGCCGACAAATTCCCTTGTTTTCTTGCCGAACAGCATCTCAGCCACGTCGGCGACACTATAGATTTGCGGGTAGTAGAGCCTCGCATTGCCGGAGATGTAACCCGAGGCGGTTGTCATAGTCGAGAGGATTAGGAAGCAGAGGATTCCAGGGAAAAAGCCCAGAGTGTGGAAGGTCTTGGGAAGACTCAGCACTCCGAGTCCCAGCTGGAACTTCGCAACAAGAACGGCCGCCGCGGGCCATGAGACGCCGCGGAAGTTGACGTCGCCATCTTCATTGGTGAAAACATCGACAGGCTCGGTGGCAATTTTGTGGTGGTCTTCACCCTCGGTGTCGTTCGAGTCGACTCGGTGAGTCTTCTTCTTTTCGGTGGTTACTTGGTAGTCGGCCATGGCTGCCCAGGAATCGGCGCGTCTAGTGAGACGAGCGGATGTCTCTTGGCTCAAGGGAGAAAAAGTCTGCAGAGGAAGTAATGAAGAGAGTTGTTCGGTGACTTGGTTAGAGAACACATTCTGCCTCTGTACAATTACGTACGACTTTGCCTGACTTAAATGCACCTGCTCCACGCCGTGCTCCACGGAGTTCGCGGGGTGACACGACTCGATGATTATAACCCTACGGACGTTCCGGATAAGAAGACTCTTGGCGTACGGTTCCCCGGTTCTGTCGTCAATCTGTCAAAAGAGTGGTACTTATGAAGTAATAACTTTTGTTTTGTTCGATCAGTTGCCGCACTTTATGTAACGGGATTACCGAAATAAATTGTACCCCAGTTTGTGTTCTGGGGCAACAGGGAAGTTGGAGAAAAAGTCTATTCCAGCGCATTGCGGAGTGATTTTCGGCCAAATACAACTTCTCCACCATAGTATTTTGCAGAGGAGACTGATAGGAAATCCACAACTTTGCGGAGAGGACATATCTAGCAGACACAGCTGCACGACAAAGGCGCCGCAGACGAAGCGGCTTCCCTTGAGGTGCCTTCCTCAATTGCTCGCAACACGCGCCCTGAGGCCGTTAGATCCTTTTCTCTATTATTGGAAGACGTCGGCTGATAAGAGCAGATAAGTCGATGTCATATCGTTCGCAAGCAGCCATCGTTCAAACCTTGGTGGCGGCAATTACAGGAAGTGCCGCAGTCCTCTTTCAACATGTCTATTTCCAGTTCCCAGTGTTCCTATGTGATGCGGAGCTCTGCCCAATACGCAAGATTGGCTGTTCTTGATCCAGAAGCACCCGCCACCAAGACCGTGAGGCCAGGCTATGCCGGGTGTAGGCAAACAACAGAGCACTTTGCGACGGACCCGTAATAGATCATCTGGACAGATCATGGCAATGTGGAAGGCCGTGAACTCAGGACTACCTTCAGTTTTGTGAAGAGAGGTGCCCAGGTGCAATTTGTCAGACTAGGATGAACAACGAAGAACCTATCAACACGCCCATCCCCATAATGATGTACAGCAGACGCTTTCGTATATGCGGCTAGAGTCCCAGACACCAAAGTTCAATGATCTCCCTCCGTACCACTTTCTCATCTGAGCAAACCCGAGAGGAATATTATGTGGAGTGAAGCGATGAGAATCTGGGGAAATAACATGCACCCCGTGGAGATAGATGGCTCCAGTTCAGCTGCTGGCCTCAGCGTCTGTATAAGAGCGCTACACACTCATTCGGACTTTTCTTTCTGCAACTGCTACGTATGTAACTAGTTTGTCACGCCGTAGCTGAGCCATTCTGAGCTGAGAGGATTGTCTACATAGTCTCTGCTTTCGTTCATACCCTTGCTTCCCAGAAGCCTATGCAAGTAGTAGCAGGGCCATAGACTGTGGCTGGTACATGCGAAGGAAAAGTTAGAAGGCAACAAAGATAGCTGAAATTTTCCAAGACCGTTATTGATGGGGAAACATATCAAGTGTCCTCGTCCAAGTGTACATGTGTTCCTGCATCCTTTAGATTGAGTATCACGAAGCTGTATTCGTTTGATAAGATGGAAATCTATATGCATTGCAACTTCGAGGAAGATGAGACTGTGCCGCTTGAATTAATGGGCTTCAAATCCGTCTATGCAACGGTGAACTTCCGTCTCAAATAATGAACGGATCTTGCGAGTAGCGACAGTAATTTTTTCTTTCGCCGCCGGAACGTGTCAATGCACGCGGACGCGGGAGATCTTGTTAAAGAGAAAGGCAAGGAAGGCAGGCAATCGCACGGCCAGGCGCCGCTTATCGCCTATCAGCACAGCTGCTGGCAAAGCTGCGACAGAATATTTCTGCCCCGCAGCCATCAATAAATCAATCAATCAATCAATCGTTGCTCTCCGGGACAAACTCTACCAACACAACAAATCGTGTGCTTGCATTCCCCTGCCGATGCTACTCACTTTTCGGCATCTGCGTCATCGGCCAGCTGTGTCGCCATGGTTGTTCATCCACCCAGACCGAATACTTCCTCGACGATCCGCCTCGAGCGCGACAAAGAAGACCAAGAGAGTGACCGCTAAATCGAAATTATCGGCCTCTATTCTCAAAGAAACATCAGCTGTGGCTACTCGTCTAGCGGAAACGAGGGTCTGGGAAACACAGGCGACGCGACAGGGTCGTCGCGGGGCGCGGGGAGCGGCAGATCAGTTTCCCGATGCTGACAGGGCACGCGTCAACGTTGTCGGCGATGAATTATGCGGTATGGAATTTTGACGTTAGTTATCTTTTACCTCTAACCCGAGCAATCGCAGACGACATCCTAAAGTACATCGGCCCGACCCTCAAACGCCATGAAGGCTGCGACCTCGTCGACATCAACCCTGGCGCAGGCCTCTGGAGCCGCAAACTCCACGACGTCCTCAAGCCTCGCCAACACATCTTAATGGAACCGGATGCGAGCCTTTACACGTCTTTTCTCGAACCGCTCCTCGCGCGACCGAACACGAAGTTGATACCGAGCTCTGGGCTATTGTGGAATGAGCTGGGCTCTGCTCTGGCACACGTTGATAACCAGACACCGCGACCCAAGGGGCCTGGCATAACGCCGGAGCGAAACGACACGCTCCTGGTCACGGCAAATCTGTCGCTCTTTCCGAAGAAGCGATACGGAAACTTCGAGTCGATTGCGGGACTCGTCCTATTTCAGTTGCTGAACAGCATACATACCGGCCAGTTGTTCCAAAAGTACGGCCTCGTGCGAATGCTTATCTGGACCGGATCAGACGACTACCAGTCCATCTTGCCGAAGTTTATACAGGCGA